GCCATCTTCAGTATACGTTATAACTATGAAAATAAAACACAAACACACATCCTACGCATTCTGTATCAGTAATGGTGAACCTATGGCATGCATGCCACAGGTGGCACACAGAGCCCTCTCTGTGAGCATGCCAGCCGTTGCCCAGCCCAGCTCCACTGCTCATGCGTGCACCTCACAGTGGCTAGCTGCTCTTCGGGTCTCTGCTGTGCAATGCATGAAAGCAGAGCCTTCACTAATCTCCGCCGTTTCCCCGCCAGCACGACCCATGCTCTAACTTTCTCCTGCATTCCTGCCACCCGTGTCTTCCCTGATCTCTGCAGGTTCCAGTCTCCACAGGTGCCTCTCCATGGCAGGAAGGGAGGAGAAAGCCTGGGTGAGGGAGGGGGAAACTGCGGAGATGGCAAGACCTCCCCCCTTTTGGGGCTGAAAAGCCTTATTGTGGTTAGCTGCTAGCAGGTGCAGGTGGCTGAGGAGAACGAGGACTCTGAGGAGGGGCCAGGACCATCAGGGAGTGGAATGCTGCCTTCAGAGATTGTGGAGGCTGGCAGCAGTGATGAGGAGATTCCCGAGGAGCCTGTGCCAAGTGCACATGCACGTAGGATTGCTTGGAGGAAAGAACAATTACAAGAGCACAGGCGACTCAGGTGTAAGGCTGCAAGGTAATGGCCCCTCTCTCAAGAGGAGAAAAGCCAGGTTTGGAAAAGTGTTCTTTGCAGATAGCAAAGAAGCTCTGAAGCTCAACTTGGTGGATATCTTAGTTCGTGCTTGGAGAATTTTGTAAATTAGTTCTTATCTCTGGGTTTTTGCCAGCCTTGACAAACAACTTAGCAAGGCTCTTCCTTGTCGGAGCTAATTAGTGGAAAGTAGCCTTCAGAACAGAATTCGTAGATGAAACCTTAAAAGGTGGGGGCTGCTGCCTTTGTCTGTGTTTGCTCTTTGGGAACCAAAACTTCCAATCTGGAAGGTGGGGGCTGGGGCGCATGCAAGGGGGTATATATGTGCAGGGAATGCATAGGGGCGAACACATGCTCAGGGGGTGCTTGCATTGCATTTTGGGGATTGGGGCACACACATGTGCATTTGTATCTGTGCACGTGTGTACTTTGGGCACTAGGCACCAAAAAGGTTAACCATCACTGTTATATACAATTGAACTGAAAACTCCTTGATATTGTATTAATATTGTACTATATGGTAGAATTCAACAGAGTTACTGCCCTGGGATAGAAACTGTTTTTCAGCCTATTTGTCCTTGTTTTTATTATCCTGTACCGTCTGCCAGGTGGTCATAGTTCAAAAAAAAAAAAAAATGAGGACCTTCTGAGAGTGGCCTGGCAGGAAATCCATAATCCAAAGGCAGATTAAATAAGAAAGTCCAAGATCTATAAGTTTAGACACACTGGTCTATGTGGAAGTATTGTGTTAAATGCAGAGCTAAAATCTACAAAAAGGATCCTCACATAGGCAGCCCCCTCCTGGTTGTCAAGTTAGTAACAAGGTTGTTAAGTGAACTTGGCTTCTCCATTGAATTCACTTGTCAGCAGTTCACATGACTTCGGGATGCTGCAACCGTCATAAATATGAGTCAATTGCCAAGCATCAAGAATTTTGATTACTTGATGCTGCAATAGTCATAAGTGTGAAAAATGGCCATAAGTCACTTTTTTTTCACTTCTGTGGTAATTTTGAACGGTTCATTAAACAAACTGTTGTAAGTCAAGGACTACCTGTACAGGTAGGCTCAGCCAGTGAAGTACTAGTATCATTTTATAAAAATCCTTGCAACCAATTTTGGTCACCATGTTACAAAAAAGATGCTGAGACCCTGGAAAAAGTTCAGAGAAGAGAAACTAAGGTGATCAAAGGCCTGGAGACTTAAACAGGTGAAGAATGGCTGCAGGGTTTGGGTTTGGCTAGTCTAGAGAAAAGAGGAATTAAGGAGTGACATGATAGCAGCCTTCCAGTATTCGAGGGGCTGCCACAAAGAAGATGGGGTCAAATTATTCCCCAAAGCACCCGAAGGCAGGACAAGAAACAATCAGTGGAAATTAATCAAGGAGAGAAGCAGCCTGAAATCAAGGAGACACTTCCTACCAGGGAGGACAATTAACCAGTGGAACAGCTGGCCTCCAGAAATTGTCGGCTCTCTGTCACTGGAGGTTTTTAAGAAGAGACTGGACAGCCATTTGTCTGGAATGGTATAGGATCTCCTGTTTGAGTAAGGGGCTAGACTAGAAGACCTCCAAGGTGCCTTCCAGTTCCTCTCCTCTCCTCTCCTCTCCTCTCCTCTTCTCTTCTCTTCTCTTCTCTTCTCTTCTCTTCTCTTCTCGGTGAGATGCTAATTCGCTGAGGCTTTTAATGGATTGTTGGGTCAGATTTGCATTCAAACCTCTGTTTGCCCGTGAACTTCACTCAATGATCTTTGGTTACTTACCGAGTTTCAAGAGGAGACAAGCTTCACACACACATACACACACACGCACACACACACTATAAAGCCCCATTTTTCTCTCCATCAAAACCTTCTTCTGGTCTTAGTGTCTAAAACCCGCTCAGTTCATCACAATGCAGTAAAATCTGCATCATTTAGACCTGCCAAAATTGCACAATTTTGAGTTCTAAAAGTAAGTAGAACCACAGCAAACAAAACAAAAAATGATGGTGACCTTTCTACAACCCAGACATTTCTGGGATGACCTTCTCTACACTGCAATCTGTTTTCCTGTTTGGTTTGGTTTGGTTTTGAATGCTTTGGTTATCAGAAATTGCAGACTTCCACTTCAATCTAACCTCCCGAGCAGGTTTGTTCTACGAATAATCTGGGAAGTAGCAAAACGGGAAGGAAAGGAGGTGTTGCATGAGGCTTTCTGAAGAAAATTTAAAAACACAACCCAAGCGGCGGTGTAAAATGAACGATGCAACTAACTTATACAAAGGACTTAATCCTCGACTTAGAACCATTCGTTTAATGATCAGCCCTGAGAAAAGTGACTAATATTTGGTCATCGCACTTACAACTGTTGTGGCATCCCCACACTCATGTGATCAAAATTTAGGAACCTGGTAACCAACCAAGCATCTAGTTGCAGCATCCCATGGCCAGGTGATTGATGTTTATTATGCCAGCTTCTGCCAGGGAGGAATTGGAATTGTTTAACACCCACAAGATTCTCTAAACTTAACAACCATGGATACAAAAAAAAAGAGATCATAAAATGAGACGTGACTCACTTTTACAGAAAAGTTTAGGGTTTACAGTCAGGATTTACAGAAAAGATTGGACAACCATTTTTTTTTTTTCTGGAATAGTATAGGGTGTCCTGCTCAAATAAGAAGACCTCCAAAGTCTTTTCCAACTCTGTTCTTCTGTGTTCTATTTGAATGCTCTCTATCCTAAATTCAAATACACTGTAAGAGTCTTCCAAAGTTGATTATTTAAGCAACGTATCTCCTTGGGATGAGAAAACAACCTTAATCCTAGTTATGAACATTTCTTGAAAAAAACATAGAGATCTTATTCCTGAATTCAGTTTTGTTGCATGAAAATGGCACTTCAGATACAGCAAATTTCTCGCCCCCCTCCTTATCACTTTCCATTCTGTGCCTGTGCTCAAATAACACCCCCTATACACACCCACAAAATAAACTCCAAGGAAATGCAAGGGCTCCAATTATGTTTGTGTCAATATTGGCATTCGGATCGTTTCTCGGATGGTCGATTATTAAATTTCCATGCTTTTGCCACGAGGCAGGCATGCAAGGCACCCTTTAAAAGTTGTACACAAGTTTCAAGGGGATTTTTTTTCCCCGCATGTAAATTATTCGGGCTTTTCTTTTCCAACAGTGTAGGGCTGCAGATCATTTTTAAAGTCAAACCTGTAAGGATGACAAGGCAGTAATAAAACTGCTCATATCTGAAATGCTAAAGAAAGCAAGAAAAAATATCGATTGGTTTTCTTGCTTCTATCCAGAAACTACCATCTATAAAGAAGCCTGGACAACAAGTTCCCTTTGAAAGAATAGAAACTACTTGTATCCCAGGTTTTAGGTTTTGTTCTGCAAGCTTGTTTCAATTTAGTTTCTGAACATTTCTTTACCAGACTAAACCAGATAATATCAGGTAACCTTTTCTTATCCTATTCGCCTTAGCTTATAAATGTCCATTGTTTAGTTTAGTTTACTTTATTGTCATTGCACCTCATACAATGAAATCAAACACCATCTTCAGTGCACATTGAAAATAAAACACAAACACACATCCTTCCCACTCCACACATTGAACCGAAAACCCCCGACACCACACCAACACTGCACTATACAGCAGAATTTAAAAGAGCTACTGCCCTGGGATAGAAGCTGTTTTCCAGCCTATTTGTCCTTGTTTTTATTATTCTGTGCCATCTGCCAGATCGTAATAGTTCAAAAACAGGGTTCCCAGGATGAGATGGATCTTTGAGAATGTTTTGAACTTTCTTAAGGCAGCGGGAGCTACAAAGCTCTTCCAAAGAGGGGAGAGGACAACCCATGATCTGTCTTGAGTTAATTTAGGAATTGCAACTGGGTATATATAGTCCTCCACAACTGAACCCAAAATTTATGTTGGTAAGCGAGACAGGTGAATTTTGCCCCATCTTACGACCTTTCTTGTAGACCTTCTGAGGTGGTCATTAAGTGAATCTCCACAGTTGCTAAGTGTTGTGACACGGTTGTTAAGTAAATCTGGCTTCCCTATAAACTCGGGACACTGCAACCGTTGTAAATGTGAGTCAGTTGTCAAGGGTTTGAATTTGGATCGCGTGGCCATGGGAAGGCTGCTACAGTTGTAAGTGTGAAAAATGGCCAGAAGTCCTTTTTTTCCCCAGTGCCGTCATATTTTTAAACACTATAAATGAACTGTTGTAAGTCAAGGACTACCTGTATTTTCAATCCTATTAAATTGTGAGATGGGAACTTAGGTTGGAGGCTTGTAAATGTGAATATTTTTTCCCTTCCTTTTTCAGTTCAGCCAACTGGTTTCCAATGACCTGAAGGTTCTAGGAAGCAGCTCGTACATTTTCTGCACCGATGGCCAACTCCTTATTCGACAAGTTCTCCACCCAGAAGCATCCAAAAAGGTAAGCTATTATTAACTTTGAATGGTCACTCCACACAAGCAAAGTACCAGCAAAGGAGGGGGAAAAAACAGGAAGTCTAGTCCTGCCAAGAATGTAATCAGGGTTAATGGAGAGGCAGTTTCTATAAGCAACACCAGAATGTTTCCTTCCTGCCTTCCTTACAGGATTAGTCCAGTAATTTCTTCTAACAACTGGTTCTCCAAACTGCTTAGAATGTTAACAACCGGTTCTAGCGAATAGGTGCGAACTGGTAGAATCTCACCCCTGGATCCTGGCTATTAATCAGGACAACATCTTGAATCTACTCCAGGGCTCAATTTATTTTCTGATGGGAATTCTGGTGCTCTTCGAATCTGAAACTAGCTTATGGTCTTAATAACTTGAAAATTATAGGCTTTATCTTCCTTCAAGTTTTACTTTGAAAACATCTTTGTGAAATCAACATTCAAGCTCAACCTCTTTTTTAAAAAAATCCTCTACATTGGTGTTTCTCAGCCTTGGCAGTTTGAAGATGTGAGGATTTCAACTCCCAGAATTCCCCAGCCAGGGAATTCTGGGAGTTGAAATCCACACATCTTCAAACTAGCAAGGTTGAGAAATGCTGCTCTATATTTTACCATTTTCCCAATCAGACACAAGAACTCTTAAGTTCTTTAGATCCTACACAAATCACATACTCCAAAAAAAAAAAGAAAAAGAAAAAAACCACACTTGTCTCTTTTCTAATCTAGGACAAGGTCATTTCTTTTTCAGGTCAAATTAAAGAACTCCTTGTGACTTGTGTGGATCATAAATCAAGGAAACAACAGATCTGAGGTTTACTGTTTCCTTCTTCTGGAGATAGTTGTTTTTTTTTAACTTTCCAGTGTGGTTCACAACCCCAGGATATCCTAATAGGCCTGAGTAGCGTTTGAACAAGACTGAAAACTTTTCAAAATTACACAAGCACAGACCGACATATTGGTAGTATGTATAAATAAGGGCAGTGCTTTTTACAAATTGTACCCAGTCTGCCTGGTTTTAAGGCAATGGGATTAGCATAACTCTTGGATACACGTTCTAATTTGCAGTTGAAAACAATTGTTGAGTTGAAGACTGGGTTTTCCATAGGGAAAAATGCCTTTGTTATTGTCTTCAAACACATTCTTAACACTAGAAGAATTCGTGACACATCTGCATCTAATGTAATCGGTTCAGTGGTACTGGTTTTGATTGAGTTAGGGTTCTATATTTAGTCTAATTTAACTAGTGCAATGGTCTTAATCTTCTCTAATATCCCCTTGTCTTCTTCTCCCATCCAAGAACTCTTGGGAGTTGAAGTTTAAAATTAGCTTTGTCAACATTCTATGTTTATGTTTCTATCTTTGCTGATAATTTGAGGAATTGCAGTTGCTAAAATACTAATGGGCAGATCAGACTGATCATAGAAAGGAGAGCTAAGTACCTAGAAAGCCTTACACAAACAGAAATTTGAATACACAGTTAGAAAAATTACTTCCATTTACCCCTTCATTTTGATAGGAAAGGTATCTGTAATCTAAATTTGTAGGAAAACTTAATTTATCAACCAGACTTTATTAACCCCAAGCACCTTTGACTGAAAACGATCATTATCTATCACTCCTCTGGTTATTCCACCCTCCTTCCTCTGTTTCTTCTATCTGAAATTGTGTGCTTGTGCACAAGATTACACATAATATTTTGAATGTGAAATGCTTTGAGCTTGAAAGGGGCTGATCTGAACGTATTGGAAAGGTTTAGAGACAGAAACGAACAACAAGGTACCCATCCAGTTTTCTAGTCCCAAGGAAGGACTAGAACTCAAGGAAGGACTAGTTTTTTAATCTGATGCTTTAACTACTAATCCCAACTGGCTCTAAATATTCATTATCTCCTTTTTATGTTACCTCCATTACAGAATCTTCTGCTATCTGACTGCTTTTATTCATTTTATGATCTACGGAAAGAATTCCATGACTGCTATCCCAGCTCAGCCCCCGTGAAGGATCAAACTATACAATCTATGGCTGAATGTATCCTTTGCAAAGTTTTCTCTAAAGTGTCATAAGTGAAGTAGGATGTCTGATTTTCAAGATGTTGTCAAATGATAAGCCCCAATAGCCTTCATCCTTGGCTAGGCTGGTTGGGCTTATATTGAGAGTTGCAATTCTATCATATCCAATATACTTCAGTTTCTCCATTTCTGATTTTTCTAGCCCAGGGATATTTTGTGTAAGGTATCCAGAAAGTATCCATGGTATCAATCACTCTGAGACATATTCTCCCCAATTGATTTATTTAGGAACAGATCTGGTATGTCTAAGGCAATTTCCCAAAGTGAAAATATTTCCATGCATTATACATTACACCTTCTCTCCTCCCACTTCTACACTTCATAAATCATGAGAACTAATTAACTGCAACTGGAATTTCTTAGTACGACATACAGAATAACCTTGAACTTTTCAACTCCTCCACCTCCCCTTTCCATTATATGTGGCAGCTGAATTTCAAAGCTGACATTTTGAATTATGAAGTGGGGTCTAAATGGGCGCAATTGAGTCTTAATCCAGGTCTCTCAAAATGCTCCTGTTGGAAGAAAGAGGACTGGAATTTCTTGGCCGATAGGGCCCACAGTATGCCTTCTATGTTGGTACAGGTGAGACAGGCCAATCCCAGTGGGGATGAGATGGTCTTTCAAATAACCTGGAACCATACCATGAAGAGCTTTCAAGGTGATCACTGTCATGCTCCTGTTTGAATCTGATTCTGAGGGGAAGGTCGAGCAGCTGACAGTAAGTGGGAGTGTGGCTCTGGTGGCTGTGGAGGAAACAGGGGAAGGGCATAGTCTGGGTGGGCATTCAGAGGAAGAACCAGGCCCACCCCCTCTTCATCCAAGGGCATGCAGGGTGGAATGGAGAAGGGAGCAATGTGAGTCGCATGGGTTACGGGGAAGAAAAGGGCCCTGATTCCCTTCATTAGCTGCAGCTGGGAAAACAGGATTTTAAAAGGGTGTTTGTGCACAGCACCTTGCTGTCAAGTCTTATCTGGGTTTTGGCATCCTCCCAACTGTGTGTGTTTCATTATCTTTTGCAGTCTACAATTCCTTATCATGCCCTGTCTCGTTAATTGCTGCAGCGTGGTTTGTGTTGTTTTTTATTTATAATTTATATGTACTTTGGGTTCGGGCTGAATTTCTTCCCTTTAAACAACTGTTCTTGGGAAAGTTTTTTTCTCCAGCTGATGATAACATGGACACTGGGGGCCAAGTTGGAGGTATCAAAGGGACTTTACCTATTTTTGTGACTTTGTTGCTTTTGTGCCACACACCCCGGGTCATAACAATCACCAACACCTTGAATTGCACCTGGAAGCAAGCTGGCAGCCACTGTAGGCCATGGAATAGTGGTGTTAATGGGGCCCCACTTGGGCCCCTCAAGAACGGCCCACGGTTCATAAGCATCTCTGTGGCTGGAGAAATCCTTTCACAATCTTTTCTTGAACTGAAACCATCCAGATATTGGCTATGGGATAGATGAAAACGAGGAGGATTTTGGAGTATGGCAAGTGAAAGCCATGGTAGCCATTGTTTTCAGCATGCTTCCAGATACATGCAGTAAGTGAAAATCCAAATCTCATTCTGGGCCTGTTTTCCTCCTCCATCAAAAGCGTCTTTTTCTCTCCTCGGTGCATTTCCAGGCTCTTCACGTCTTCATTTCTGGTCTGTTTCAGGTCACAGGTTTACCACCCCTGAAACAGTGAAGTACAAGTATGAAACGGGACCCTGGTAAGTATGTTTTTTTTTCTTCCTGGGATGGGACCAAATATCAGATGGATTGCGGGGGGGGGGGGGGGGGGGGGGGG